TCATATAGAAGTTGTGTGATATATTTGCCAAGGAAAGCTTCCCCACCACTCACTCACTCTGCTAGGAATAAAGTTAGCAAAAGGCCATTGAGGTCATAAGATCTGGCTGTTATTGCATTTTACAGGAAGGAAGATATGTTGTCTTAAGATCAGTTTATCAGCTGACTTTCCTGTGAAGAAGAGACTATTTTCCTGTGCATCACCACCCCCGTAATTCCCAAACGAACCCTCTCAGTTTGAATCTCCTGTCAGCTCAGCTGTGTGCAGCTCTAACAGTTCAGTATTAAGCAAACAAATAAAAAAGCCATTGTGAGCCCATTCAGAATCAACATCTCTTATCAAGCTGACTAACAAGGAGGGATAAACCTCTTCAGTGCTGCCTGTCATCTCAGTCACTTGTTCTCTCTTGGTGTCAATGAACAACTGAATCTGTTGTGATGAAATGGAGTTCTGTTGTAACTGTTTGAAGAGTTACTTACAAGAACATTGTAAGCAACAGAGAGCTAAGAAGTCTTGTCTATTTTGAAGGTGATTGCTTTTCAGTATGTTGTTTTGAAACTCAGATTTACTCTGGGGTTTTTTATTGTTTCTTTAGTTATTATTTTTTTGCCAACTCTGATTTTTCCATGCAACTGTAAAATCACTGGGCATAGGTTTTTTTTTTTTTTTTTTTGGTGTTGGGGTCCTCCCCCCAAAAGTCCCTGCTTTCATGAGGTTTTCAGTTGGGGAATGGTTGTCTGTTTCCTCTCTCTGTGACAAATGCATTTCTGTGATCAGGAAAAATGCAGATGTTACAGATTCACTAAGGCATGGTCTTATTAGCTAATGAGTCTTAATCTTTGAAGGATTACACATATTGAATAATAGCATTCATTGATAAACAGTTCAAGGGGATCGTCCTGGTTTCTAAAGTATTTACAGTGGCAGCTTTAATTGATTATGTTCACTTCCTATGCACCCAGAAAAACTAAACTAACCCTCCAGTGTTTTGTGCATCTTAAAAGAGCTGATTAATCTAGCAAGAAACAGCACGCGTCCAACAAAACTCTCTGGTTTCAAATTATTCCTTTTATGGGACAGAAACAACTAAAAACCCTGCATTACACAGGATGCCTTTCTTTAATATCCAGTAATTTCTGAAATGATAATCTACTAAGATTTTCATCCAACCAAGCATTACTTTACTTTTCTTTCGTCTATGTTGAAATCCTTTAGCCTCTAATACTCCAAGCCTTTGGATTCCCGTAATAGTCAAGAGGGCAGAGAGGGGTTGAAAACTGGGTCAGCATGGACCCGATTCCAGTCCCACTGAAATCAATAGGACTTTTGTAATTGACTTCAATAAGAGCAGGATCAGGTTTCATATCAGCTTTTCCTGAGGCAGTTTCATTAACAGTGCTTTGAGCCCCTCCTCTAAAGCTTTTCAGCATCTACGTCCTACTGAAAATATTCTGTGTCCAGGGTTCTGTGCCAAAGGCAGGATTCACTCATGCAGTTTATACTTGGTAGAGGAGAAGTAAGAAGCCTAAATTGTTTGTTTGTGCATATTACCATGCATCATTTTCTATACCTGAAATATATTTGAGGTATTTTGAACACTTTACGTACAATATAAAATATGCTTGTATCTAATACTAGATCTACTTTAAATTTCCGTTTTTATTCTCAAACATGTTAGCAATATTATCTTATGTATTAAGTAAAAGCAGCTGTTTACAGATATCTAATATTCTGCCTACCAGAATATTCCCCACATTATCTAAGAAGTTAAACACTTGGAATACTGAAGAAATGGTTTAGTAAAAGCTTTAACAGATCCTTAATGAACTCAGCAGTATAACACTAAAATACCAAGACATTTTTAAAATGTATAGGATATGCTAGAGATATGGCATTACATGAAATGGAATCGTACTGTTCTGTTTGTCCTAAACAAATTGGGAAAGCCTCAGGCGCATTGAATTTAAATCAGAATATTGCAAACTGAATTATAACAAAACTAAAATGGGAGGCAAAAGAAAGAGGAAAAACTTTTTTGGTTTGTTGTTGTCTGAATGACTTTTAGTTTCAACTCTTTAATTTGCCACATGCCAGCTTACATCTATGAAGCAAACTTCTTTGAATTTCTACAAAGAATCTCATTCTTTTTCAATAAAAAGATCTGGCAATAATTCTGTTGGCACTAGATGAAGAGCTTGTTTATTCCACTGGTGATGGCTTCTGTTGTTGTTATCTAGTTTAATGAAAGATCCATAAAAAAAAAAACTAAATAAACAAACAAACCCTGTGAAAGTTTGTGGATAAAGATTATGTACAGTTGCTTTGGATATATCCAAAATGCATGTAGAACTGACTGGATTATGGTAATGTGGTGTTAATAAAATTGCTTCTTACAAGCAGTGGCCTTTATTCAAAGGATACTAGATCACCAGTGAAATGAGTTATTGGGCCTCAGACAGACCTGTGACTAAACTCAGTGTTTGTACTTTACAGTTGTTCACACAAACTGTTTGTCAAGCCCTGTGAGTCTTGAATTTAGGGCCATGGGAATCATCACATGTCAATCCTCCACCCAGCAGCTCACAGACAGTACCTGGGAGTGGGGTCCATGAAGCACAAGCCCCATCCCCTACACTCTGATTGGAAGAGATCTAAGGCTCTTGATTGGGCTGCAGTACCTATTTAAGCCAGAGGAGGCAACAGGAAGTCGTCCAGGCAAATGGGCTTCCCTCTGCCACAGATTTCTGGTCAAATGTTTACCTCCTCCTGACATCCTGACTCTTGGTCCTGCCCTCTGGTCTGTCTCTTGATTCTAATCTCCTGGCATCCTAATGTGGCCTGATTCCTGGTAATTGGCTTCTGGCCCCTTGGCCTAAGCTCAATGCTCACACCTAGACCAGGCTGCCCACACCCCAACCCTCACGCTGTTTCAGCTGGACACTTATAGAACACTCCTATGGAATTGAATAGGGGTGATACCAATATGCTTCTAAAGAAATGTATCTCCTTTTTCTAGGATTTTTGGATCCATCTTCTAAAAATATACAGCAGGGATAGAATTCTCTATTAAACTCTATAGGTTGGCTCAAAAAACTTATGAAAAGCTTATTACTTATGGTAATAAAGCAGGTAAAAATGTTCAGTTGTGCAACAAAATATGGTATGAATCTTTCTACCATTTGTAGTTATTAAATTCTATAGACCTGTTTTATTATTATCTATTTTAGTATGTCATTTTAATATCTAGATTTTTTTTTAAATAAACTTACAAGCAGAAGACAGTGAACAGAAAGAATTTGTGATTGTTACTTACTTACTGTGAAGGATTCCGTTGGAAAACATTTCTTATGCTTAGGCTCATAACAGCCTCTCAGCCGTACACACAAACGGCCAGAAGCAGAAAACATGCTTGCTGAGACCTGTTGTGACCTTAAAATGGAGCTGAGAGCACAGTAATAAGGCCATGGAATAGGGCTCCTAATTATCATAGTAATTATCAGAGTAATATCAAGGTAAACATCTGTGGAAGAAGGGCTGTTTCCTACTGACCGGTCCTTCCATGTTTTGCCCCAGAATCTTCCTCCCTGGCAGCACAGCTACACTATCTTCCCTCCATGCCATTGGCTGCTTACTCCTGCCATGCATACAGGGCCTTCAGTTGGGTTTGAAACCTGTGTAGGGAGAGATACTGATGCTCATGTGAGCAGTAAATTCAGCTAAATTGTGGATTTGCCATTATAGCTGAGTAAGGGACAGCACATAGTCAGCATTTGTTCCCCAGTTTCTTCAGGGAGGAAGTCACACCTTTACCTGGCACAGCTTAATTCCTCCTCTGGGTTGGCCTATGCACTGAGGGGTAGAGTGAAGACTCTGCCTATCTATGTAGAAGGAAGGAGCAGCAGCCCCAGAGAGGCTGCTGTCCTCCTCCCCCTTGATGCCGGTTGTCCACATAGGAAAATCACACTCTTGCCCTTAAATTGCACTCTGCTCAGAGAGGAGATAATGCAGTGTAGAGCAGCTGTTCCCTGATTCCTTCCCCCTTTGGCTAACCATGCCCCGAGTCAGGAGGAGTTCAGCTCACATGATGCCGATCTGAAGGGAATAGAGGCCTTTCCCCTCAAACCTCATGTCTGTGGCAATGTCCTGGTTTTGCTGCTCTGCACTCGTGTATCAGAGAATAGCAGGCTGTAGTCAATTGGAAGAGGCTTTTAAAACAACCAGATGAGGCCAGATTACATATAGTTTATCACTGAGAAGGCATTTACTTAGAGGGGAACTCTATTGTCAACATTACTTTTTACTTTCTCATCAGTGTTAACTACCTGATTTTTTGCTCCAGACTAAAAAGCTTTAATAATAAAAACATTTATGATCTTCAGGCATTTTTCCTTGTGGAAAATAAACAATGTGCCCTTCTCCTGAAACATAATACTGGGATAAATCCATTTCTGGCCTTACTCCATTGAAGCCAATAGAGGGATGCCAGGGATGATTTTGGCATTACATTAAAAAAAAAAAAATCACGATTCCCACTTCCTGCATTCTGTACATGCTGAAAGTAACTAATTGCCTTAAGATGAGCCATGCCCCCTTCTTCCCCCCCCCCCAGTTCAGTGAAAGGGGGGGAGACTTTCAAGAGGCTTTCTTTTGCTCATCATTCACTAAGAGAGAATAATAACAAATCATAGGACAAACTGAGCATGTTGTCTTCCTGTTAGACCTAAAATAGGATTCTGATAAAATCTAAATAAGGCGTCTTCATCTTAGTTTCCAGAGCACTGCATGAGTAAAATTATGTTGTGTAAAAGCCTAAGAATGGGCACTTCTGCAACTCTTGTAAAGAATTTTGCACACATTAATTAATTAAGCCTACAACACCGCTGAAAATTAGTCTAGTGTGCACTGCAACACAATATGCTTTCTAAATATTCCACAATACTTGCAAATATGCAGTGAAAATATGTATTAACACTATGTAATTCTGTGTTTCCCTTTTTAAGGTCCTGACCCTGCAAAGCAATCTGCCTGCAGGACTCCGCCTGGATATAAGGGCCTGTGTTGATGGATCTCTTTGCAGAGTTGTGGCCTTAGTCTGCATTTTTATTTTTGAAGGAATCAAAATGCATGCCTATATTTAGGCACAGTTGGGCTCAGTTAAAAGGTGCAAACAATAACTCGGCATTTCCTTTACAGTCACTTCGTACTTTTACATTATTTTAAATGGAGTTTTGGTTTTTTGATGCTTAACTTTTAAATATAAATTTACCAAAGAACGGAAGGTGAAAATCCTTGTCCTCAGGTGCACATCCCTTCCTCTCCCACTGAAAATGGCCCAGCCCCCTCTGCAGTTGTTGGTCCCTTCCCTCCCTTAACCCAAATTCCTCTCCCAGCTATCTGCAACTAAAACAATGCCAAACGCTCTGACTACTGATTCCTTGGCTCCTCCCTACTCCCAATCCTCCTGCAACCATTCTCAGAAGTCATTCAAAACGAGGAGAGGGTTTCTGGAAGCAGAGAAGATGGTGAAGGTCAGATTCTCAAGATGGATTTTCACTCCAGACAAGCATCCTGTTTGGTCCCATCTTCCAGCTGCTGGAATCCCACCCCACTTAATGATCTAACATCCCCTAAATGCCCACCCTAAATATCTCCCTCACCGCTTCAAAACTAACCTAGTGTGTAAGGACCAGAACACAGCTCTGCAGAGCCTGGGAGGGCTGATATTCCTGCAGTGCCACCAAGAGGCCATACAGTAGCACAGCCAGGGAGCACTATGGAGAGTAGGTATAACCCACACATCTCCTGGGTGTGGTGTTCTGTCTTCTCTAGTGGCACCAAGACCACTTAGAGAGAGAGAGAGATTAATGAGTCTGCTCTACAGCCTTAGCTAAGGGCCATGTGGCTTTTAGCTCATGCAGTAGAGGCTCATGCACTAAGCTCCAGAGGCCCCAGGTTTGATTCCACCTGCCGATGACCAGCGTCTGTCGGTGTTACATAGGCACCGCAGGAAGTGCCGCCTAAGAAACCCAGAATGACTGTGTGGCTAAGCACCCTATTTAACCCCAGGGGTTGACCCAGGAAGTTGTCTGGGCAGTAATTCAGATCTTGGGCTGCTGCGATGCCAAACTTTGCTTGATATTCTGGTTTCTGACTCCAGCCTGACTCTGACCCTGATTCCTGCCTCTTGAGTCTAACCTGGTACTGCCTCTGGCCTCTGATCTCTGATGCCAGCCTAACTCTGACCGTTCCACCTCTGATCTCCGGTCTCTGACCCCACCCCTGACTCTTGCTTATGGAAGTGGGTTCCTGTAATTCCTCCATCTCCTGCCCAGTGACTACCGTCCCTGGAGGGCAGACCTCGGCCCAGCTGTGACCACTAGATAAGCCTGCCTGTGCCCTGGTCCCTTACACGCAGTTTCCAGGTGTCATCCACTAGAATACTGACAGATTAGTATGAGTTAATGTAGAACTGAAATACATACTGCACCTATTAAGCACTACTATTTTTCAGTGTATGTGGTTTTGGTTTTATTTAACTAGGATGTGAGGATGGAGAGAGGAGGGCACTTCTACCTGCCTGTCTGATGATTTCTCCACTTTTGCCTAATTTACTTTCCCTAACTCCTAACAGAGATTGGTTTAAGCCCTGAAGCATGAAATGTCATATCCCATCTCAAACTCTAATTTTTAGTATTTGCTATTGTAACTTTGGATATTCTTGTTATCCATATAAAACCCAGTCCCACTTTAAATCTTGCTAGACATTCATAATACTAGTACTACATAATACAAAGTACTAGACATTCATAATAAAGAAAAAAAATCCTCATTCAAGGACTGGCAGCCAACAGTTGTCTCCCAGTTCTAGGGGACATTATCACACCACAAAGGCCACTTTAGGATCACCTCCTATAGAAGGTCTACATCTCAGCAGGCTAGTGGGTCCTCCAATGGCACCCTCTTTTCCTCATTCTGCTTTCTCTGTCTCTTGCTTCTTTGTCTTTCTGTTTCAGTCTTTTCTTCTCCTTCATTTGTCTATTTTTCCTTCTTTTGTTAACAAGCTCCAATATGGCTGTGATGCTGGCAGATCAGGTGCCAGCTCATGCCAAAGCCCCGGGTTAATTCACTTGTGTATTAATATAGATCAAAATAATTGTTAAATATATAAGAGTATTTGGTGTTTAACCTTCATGGAAAATTAATGGGATTTTATGGGAAAACAATGCATGTATCTGCATTCTGTTCTAATGTAATAGCAAATATTTACATTGTAAATTCCCCTGTACTAAATAACTATCAAACCTAGAAGAAACCTCATGGGATGCAAATAAAGAACTTTAACAGAAAAAAGTGCTAATCCGAAGCAAGTGGTCATTGTGTGTGATGATTGGAGGTCAAAAATTCTAAACGCATTCCTCACTCTGTCGTCAAAGGAAAAGCCCATGTGGGTAGTGACCTTGAACAGCAGAGCTCAGATCTAGTGGAAATGGCAGCTCTGATTTTATGTGCTTATTTAGCAATAACCAACAACATTGCAGCAGTGTTTTCTTCCTGTCTTTTAAATTTCTTTTTCAAAGGCTATCTTCAATTTCCCTTAGAATTGATTTGCCACCATCTTGACATTGTGTCACTCGAAATAAACATACATCTGAGCCTTTCTGGTACATCTGTAAACTAATAACGGCTTTGGCACTAATAATCCTCTGCAAAGTACTTAAGGATTCAGGCACAGCTACTGTTTTCATTATACCATCTGACTCAGGCCTGAGTCACTATTGGGTTCTTCACAATTTACAGAATCACAGAAAAAGTTAGAACTAAAAATGACCTAAAAGATCCTCTAGCCCATGTCCCTGCTGATTCAGGACTGTTGTTCCCTTACAATATATTCTCCATTGCTCTCGCCACTCTGATTGTAAGTGATTGGCTCAAATAGGGCCTCCACCAGCTGTTGTTTGGGAGACTATTCCAGAGTCAGCTAAACCTCTTGTTTAGGATTTTTCTTCCTATTCAAAATATTCCTTGAAACTGTGTCATTCTCCTTTACATCCCTCTGAGCATTCTAACCCTGTTTTATCCTCCCAGATGTTAACACCCTACAAATACTTGCAGGCTCCCTTATGCCCTTATCCAAATCCCATTGAATCCAATGGAAAGACATCCACTGACTTCAATGGGCTTCAGATCAGGCCCTGGGTCCCTGTTTAGCCAAGCTATCAGTATGGGTTTTGAGGTCTCTTTATCTCCACTCATGAATCCTTCCTTCTAGCCCCTGAATCGTTTTTGTTTTTCTCTGAACTCCCTCTGATTTGTAGGCGTCCTTCTGGTATTGAGTGGTTCAGAACTTAGTGCATGTATTCCGGGGAGGTCTCACCAGAGTCATAGAAAACTTGATATGGTCTGTATCATTATGCCTCTGCCTACATAGCCTAACACCACATGAGGCCAGATTTTTAAAGGTATTTAGGTGCCTGAAAACACGGATAGATAGTAGGATTTTCAAAAGCATCTGGATGCCTAACTCCCACTGATTTATAGGAGCTGGACATCCTGAGCACTATTGAAAATCCCATTAGGTGCCTATCTGCATCTGTAGGTGCCTAAATACCTTTTAAAAGATGTCCCATGGGGAATAGGTACCACCATATTACACTTCCAACTCATACATAATTTGTTACGTTACGTACCATGACCACTACATCTCATGCAGTGTTACTCCTGCCAAGTACATATAGGGAGGAAATATATGTAGTTTGGATTGTTTTTCCCCCAAGATGATTTATTGTGGGTGATCCACTCGCATTGGGTTACCACTAATCTCTCCACGTTTATTTGTATTATTGCTCTGTCATCTCTGCTGCTCCTCACAGCACCTCCTATGGTAGTATAATTTTCAAATCTAACTAATGTGCTGTTCAGTGAAACAGGATCTAACATTAACTGAAGCACCCACCACCCTAGAGATCAGGAAGTCGTGTACTTAATTTTCTGTACACATAAAACACTGGTGATGCCCAGTCAGCTGACATCAACTGATCAAATGCTCAGTTCTTCCATTTCATTGTTACTTGCATGGGCCACACCACCGAGTATGGAGCACATTAATGCTCCTCTAGCTGTATCTGACCAACAAACCTTGTTTTTTTCCCTCCCTCCTCACTTTTCCATTCATAAGTGTTCAGATGCAACTGAGAGAAGCCAGGCTGGATGGATTAACTCTCTGGTTCTTTTTTAACCTTCACATTTTTTTTGCCGTGACCGTATTGGTCACTCCTTGTGTGATGGGTTCCCCCCCCCGGTGCCGCTTGGAACTGGGTTACCACTGAGTGCACCTGATCCACCAGCCTGGGTTCCCTTTCAAACTATACTGCTGAGGCAAGCCTGCCAAGCCCTTTCCCAGGCTTCAGGCTGTACTTTACCGGCAGTCATACAGGTAGGGACACACCCAGCTGCAGCTATACACACAGATGCTGAGATCAGCTCTGCATGGGAAGGCTCAACTAGGGAACTGCCCAGTACTCAAGTGCACACCCCCCTCTAGAGGGTAAACCCAAAATTATACCGTCTTGCGCTGCACAGAGAATTGTACAGCATAAGCTCATGAAATTCACCCCCTCCCTCAATGTGTAGGAAGATATGCAACAGCTTTTTGCCCCGCAGTTATGAATTCCACATACTGGGTTTTAGACAAAACAAAGCAAGTTTATTGGCTACAAAAGATAGATTTTAAGTAATTAGACAGGATAGCAAACAGATCAAAGCAGATTACCTAGCAAATGAAACAAACACGCAATCTAAGCTTAATATACTAAAGAAATTGGTTATAAGTAGCAAACTCTCACCCTAACTGTTGTTTTATGCAGATTGCAGAGATTCTTGAAGGCAAGCCACACTTGCAGCTTAAAATTCCAGATATTCCTTTCACAGGCGAGAAAAGCTTCTTGCCTGGGCTCAGCCCTTCTCCCCTAGTCCAGTCTTTTTGTTCTCCGGTGTTTCCAGTAGTCCTCTTTCCTGGGCAGGGAGTCAATGAAGAGCAAACCTCTATGATGTCACTCCCCTACTTTAAAGAGTTTTTGCATATGGCAGGAATCCTTTGTCTCCCAGTGTGGTTCCCACCCCCAGTTAGTGGAAAAATACCAGTATTACCATGGAGTCCAGTACCAGGTGACTTGGTCACATGACCCTCCAGCCATAATTCAGAGGCTGTTTGTAGCATCCCCAGGAAGACTTCCTGGTGGGAGATTAGCATCTTCAAAGACCTATTTTTTCCCCTAATGGCCCTTCCCAACCAGCCATCCAGGCTGATTGCATTCTGTCTAGTAGGCGTTCTCCAGGTGTAAGCGCATTTGTAATAGATGCTGAGACAATATTCCTAACTTCAGATACAGAAATGATACATGCATACAAATAGGATAATCATATTCAGTAAATCATAACCTTTCCAATGATATCTCACATGACCCATCTTGCATAAAATACGTCTTAGTTATGCCATAATCATATGATAACCATATCTCTATGAAGAATATGGGGCATAGTCTCACACCTTGTTCCTAATTGTAACAGGGTACACCCTGCCTCCCTCCAAATTTGGCCCCCTCCTCCATAAATCAGGGACACTTCAGTCTGGTGCAACACCCATGTTCTTTATTCGTGATCAGTTCCTCACCACCAGTTTCCAACTATATACAGGCTTTACCACTGCTTGGTGTGCCACAAGCATTGCCAGCAACAGACTAGGGGGAGGGGAGGTGGCAGCGGCTGCCACCTCTGAGCCTGGCCTCCCACTCTTAGTCTCCCCTCCCCTTTCTCTCACTTCCTTCCAGCCTTATGGCTCCTGCTAATGAGGCTGTCAGGTGTGGTCAATTACCAGGCAAACATAGGGAAGTTCACCCAGCCCCAATCTATTCTCCCTTATTGGGGCTGAGGTGGCAGGAGCTGATTAAGGGCTTCTCCAGCAGTACCCTACCACACTAATGTCTTCCTTTTTCAGAGTGATTTCCCACAAAAATAGTCATTTTGGTAAAAAAAAATTGTTGAAAGGAAAGTTTCTATGAGAAAAATAAATAATAGTAGAACTGGTTGGAATTATTTGTATTGTGGTAGGAACTATGGCTTCCCTCTGTCATGGACCAGCTAGGCACTGTATGATCACAGAGCAAAAAAGATATTCCCAGCCCCACAGTGCTTATTAATTATAAGGCAAGAGGCCCCAGACGCATACAGACAAATGGGTGAGCACAAGGAAACAACGAGACAATATTGGTCAGCACAATAAGCAGTGGTCTCAGCACACAAGCAGTCTAGCCATTGTCAAGTGGCTTTTTTTTACATTGTCAACTTTTTAGTGTTATTGAATGTATTTAAGTATAATTTCCATAAGTTTGCCAGGTGCTTGTGGGTATAATTACTAAACATGATGGCAGTAGGATGGGGTTTTTTTGGTCTTATGATAAGATAAAGATGTGATGAAGTTGTGTATTAAGTGCCTAAACCCAACGTTTACCATCTTTAATCAAATTGTTTGTCTTACCACCCACTTGCCACTTTCCATACTGTGGAGAAAGTATGAAAACGCCTCTGAATGGTATTGCACTGGGACTGACAAGGCAAGAATAATGGTGAAGCCTGACAATCTGAAATAGCAATAACACACTAGAGTATATCCTGTTGTGTTGTATAGACTTTGCTCTTTAATTCCTCCCTCGGGCAGTCTGAGGATGGAAGTGTTTTTCTCACAGGAAGTCTTCTCCCTACTGATTTTGTGAAGAAGCAGCAATTTCCCTACATGGGATAGTCCTTTACAGTAGTTTGGGATCCCTTTGTTAGATATCTCATTGTACAATTAAACACTAGCGCTCTCTATGGCTTCCGACTGGTAGTTTGTAAAATGGAGAGGAAGGAGCTATATAGAAGTCCACGCTTAGAATTACGTTAAGAGGAATGTTAAGGGCTAACTTCTCAGGTGCATGGGCACAGCTTCACATGGGGCTTTCACGTGATAGCAGACTTTGGTCCTAATGGTGCACAGTTCAACATTCTAAGATATAACTCTGCCCCACCCCCTCGTTTGATTTTTAATTACATGATCAGATGCCATTTCTCAAATGAAACAGTATTAATGTCATATAATTTTGCTATCAACACAGCTGGCATGTATAGCATCTTGCAGTGATGCGTAGCACTCTGTGTTTACCATGAAATTGTTATGTGAAAAATACACCGTGAACCTTACTTCCTCAGCGTGCTGCATATTAAATAAATAACGTGGCGTAAGAGTGAAAATTGACGGGCATATCTGGGACTCCTAAGTTC